TCTCTCCATATTGTAAAGACAACAATAATGATGACGACAAATTTATCGTGTGGGACATTTGATATACAATGCTTGATAATACTCTGAACGGCTTTAAGATTTTGATTTTTTTCTTGAATTATGTCCATGGTTATCTAGTTTATCTTTCAAAACACATCAAAAATGCATTTGTAAAGTTAAAGGTTGACAGGTTGCGGCCTTGCGGCTAGTATATGAATAAAAACTCTTAATTTTGCGATACTACATGTTTCATAAAGAGTAAATGACATTCATGGTTAGTGATCGTTAACAAAATTGTTGAAATTTACCGTTTTAAATGTAAGTTGTCACTTATGATGATTACTGTAGTCGATATGAATTTGATTACTCTTTCATAAAAGGTTGTGCACGCATAGTTAATTCTAGATCCTAGTTCTAGTGGCTTATTAGCAAGGTTGGTTGGATTGTATTGATCTCAACCTATGTTTAAGTCTTAAACGAATGGAAATGCTATGCTACATCAATTAATTGAGTTAAAATAAAATAAGTATTTACCATAAGCACAAGAGTGATACGTAAAAACATTGAGTTATCAAATATGTAGAACATTCTTCCTTAACTCTTGCTATTGTCACATACTCTCACATAGACATCTCTCACTAGATACTAAAAAATAGAAAATCATAACAATAAACACTATTGACACGTTTAATAAGGTGAACGCCACAACGTGCAACAAATATTAAGAAAGAAAAGTTAAATATTTTAGCTACTATAATGCCCATCTTTTAGGTGATGCGAACCAAATATTTTCCTACTTTTATTCGATCATAATGTAAGCTCCAATCTTATATCATTTGGGCTAGAGAGAACATGCTTTCAACTTTTCATCCATCCAACCCTTATTAATTTTCTCAATGAATTCTTCAGCTCGTTTCCTGAGCTCATCTTCTTCTTCATCTCGGGTTCCTTCATCATTGTCAACCATTGATGTGCCCACAGACGAAGATGTCATCTTCGAGGAACACAAAGCATTTGTTCTTTCCATGTAATATCTCTTATTGCTAACATCCCCGCGAGAAGTAAAAGGCTTAACTTCATTAAATTCTGACCTCGATTTCGAGCTACCAGCAAGTAGAATGACTATGATCAGATTGCATAAACAAAAGACTGCGTGAGAATTCGAAGCAGCAAGGCTGATCAAATCAAATGTTGAATTCAGCATATTTTATGAGAGAGTTTGAAAACGAAGAGTGAACGAACAAATTGGAACTCAAGCAGCTCAAAGGCTACTGCTGTCTGGTAGCAGAATGGAAATGGAGTTAATGGCTAGTTGGTAAGGACGATTTAGGAAGACAAAGAGACCGCGTTCTGGGATTCTCTTAAAAGGTTGCACCGAAGGAAAAGGTCTATGGAGGAAGCTTTATTTAGCAGAAATTGAGGATTAGATGGCGAGGTGTAGTGTGAAAGCTAATGTGGGCTGACAGGTTATATGCATTAGTTTAATCCTCTGTGCATTAAATATTAAGATTCTTGAAACCCCTCACTTGATTAAATAGAGTCCTTCTAACAACCGATAATTTCCGTATCGAAAATTTTTGGATGTGTTTCATATGTAATATTGAAAGGGAAAAATTAGTTAAAATCCAATTACTGATAGAAAAATGTTTTCTTGATTTTTAACCTGTGAGAAATTACATGAAGAGTCGATTTCATGTAGAATTTTTTATAATAGGTCCTGTGAAAAGTAAATTTTTTTGATTCATAGTACATGTACCAAACATTAGAAAAGAAGAATAGGCAATTTTGTGTCATGACTATACCTTGTGAATGAAATATTAGACTAGAGAGTTGGAATCCAAACCATTTATAAGTTATTTCGTCATAATTTGGCAAGTAAAGCATCTCTTACTCCATATCCAAATTTGGAATTATTGAAAATAATATTTAAATAAAAAAAATTTATGTTTCTCATTGGATTGCAAGCATGAAACTTGTAAATAAAGAAAATAAATTTTAGACAATTGATTAAATGCATTTGATTGATTTAGCTTTCAACATAGAAAATATTATACTAGTTCAATTTTTATTTTTTTTATACCCAGGTGTCCGCCTTAAAGCGACTGATCTTGGGGCCTACGATCTAGCCCCTCTTCACACAGACCAGTTAAACAGCGGGTTGTGTCCCAAACTGGCCAGGGTCCTAGAGCCCTCCCAACTGAACTGTCAAAGTGTTGAGCGACTCAAACCCATGTATGCGTCTTGCCTTCCAGGAGGACGAAAATATTATACTAATTCAATTTTTATTTTTATTTTATTTATTTTATTTTTTTTATACTAGTTCAATTTTTATTGGTGGGTAGATGAGAGGAAGGGATGGATGAGTGAGAGAGTGGATTTCTTGAAAAATAAAATCCTAATCCCCTAAAATATATATATATATATAAAATGTGTGCTGACATGTTATGCATATTAGTTTAATCCTCTGTGTATTGAATATTAAGATTCTTGAAACCTCCCACTTGATTATAGAGTCTTTCTAACAACCGATAATTTCCGCATGGAAGATTTTCCGACGTGTTCTATAAACAATATTAAAAAGGAAAAATTAGTTAAATTTTTGTAACTATCGTCATAAATGGGATAGAAAAATGTTTTCTTGATTTTAAATTTAGGGTGCATGTATCTTAAATGAATCTAAGTCAATTCGAAGAACGTATAAAATAGGATTAACTATATCCTCTTAGACATTTTTTGAAATGTATAGTTAAAATTAATTATTAACTAGAAAATTTCTTTGCAAAAATTATTTTTTCAATAATATAAAATTTCTTAAATCTTCTGTCCAAATTCTCAACATTCTTTGAGTTTTCAATGCATATTTCATGATATTCATGCATAGCTCAAGATTGTTTATATCCATTTTCATACACATTTCTGTACATCAAAATTTCGGTAGAACTATAAGCAGCAACGTCGAACAGCCAACTTATAAGCAAATCAGAAATTATCTTATAAAAATTAAGTTTCTCTACTACAACAAAGGATGATACATCCAATTCAAACATCCGAAATTCTATATCAGGTTACAAAACACCAGAGCAAACATGACTCGAACTACACAACAGGCATACTAGTGAAGTCCTAAACTAGTATGAAACTAACAAAAGAAAAAAAAAAATCTGCTCGAATTGACAAATCACATTCTAGTTGAAAACGATAATAGGCAGTTGTCGATTTCTAACCGGGGTCAGAAAGAAGTAAGCCTAAAAGTTTCACGCCTTCTAAAAACAGCTAAGATACAAACAAGAAAAATATAACAAACACAATTAGCAAGTAATTTCGTGGCGTTGCTCTCTAGAGTCTTCTCCCGACAATGAGACATTACTTTCTGGGATAGCAATTTTTGAACCTTGAATGGAGTTTGCAGAAGTTAAGTTGTCTCCACGGAAGGAAGCAGATGAGTTCAAATTTGGCTTCTGTCCACCGGGGGTTCCTTCATATCTTTCTTCAGAAAAAGGATTAGCAGGACTCGGGGTAAACGATATTGTGCGCTCATACTTCCGTTTTTTGGGCTTCAGCTCTTGATGGTGGCCAGGAAGAAAGCTGCCAATGACAACCTGTTGCAAAAGACAAGTTCAGAGGAGTATTCCAATTAGCAAATATTTTCGTCTGGTGTCATATTTGTTCTATTGTCGTATGAAGACAAATAGATTGTAGATTTTTTGGATAACATAGTAATTCTTTTGTGTCTCGTTTTCGTTCATTTTGGTAACACTTTCTAACCTGGACAGGGCCAGCAGCTACTAGCATCCCAGCAAGGCCTCCCCCCAAAACACGGCCATCTGGACCTGCCAACGAGACACTCATCCCACCAGATCTGCCTTTTGTCAATCCGTTATCGTTCGGCATGAAAGAGCCTGTCAGAGAAAGTATTTCAAAGCGGCCCTGCAGAAAGGGCATAATTATAGATAATTCTTGTCAAAAATTTAAGAAACAACAATTTTGATGGCTTCCATAACTTTAGTGGAGAGAGAGAGAGTAAGAGAATTCAGGAAAACCATCTCGAAACATCACAATTCCAAGCCTCTGAAAATTCTATCAGATGTGAAATGGTGCCGGCCCTCATATATGCCAACTTCAAATATGAGACCCCTATATTTTGAACCTTATAAAGAGTTTTAATATAATTATGAAGAATTTAATACAGACAATTAAGTCCCAAAATTCGAACAGGAAAATACAAAATGTCAAATTTCAACGTACAATAAAAATTATAAGTGAAGTTTTGGCAAAAAAAATTACAATGCAATAGCAAATGGGTCTATTCATTTCTTTGGTCATTTTCTCATTGCAACTATTTCAAACAAAATTGAATAAACATTTGAGTCATTTATGTATAAAATTTGATAATGTTGACTGTGAGATATAGTGTAACAAAATAATAAAAATGACGATCAAATACACTCTAATTTTATATTAATTAATAAGAAGTTAACATACAAATAAGAAGTATGAACACGGACGAAGAATTATTAAATTCTAAGTACTTTCAACAAACACCGAAAAAGGTTATTATCATATGATTAAAGCAAAATAGTAATAATAACAGCCTATGTACTCTGTAGTATAAGTTCTGAGGATAAGGGAGAAAAAAAGAAACATGTAAGGCTGTAATAGTGCCAGCGAGACTATATTAATCTGTTAAATTGAATCTTCAAAATTTTAATTCAAATGGAGATAATTTATTTTTGAATAATATTATTTGCAATCGCCCTACGTGACATACATGTAGCGGTTAATGACTTGATGCATTAATGTGGTAGTAATGCATCAAATCAGTAATTGCCACATATATGCCACAAGTGCAACTATGTTAGTAAGCAACTATAAATAGCACTACTCTTTATTTCTTGTTGTGTTGAGAAAAATTATGATGGGTGAGTGGAATTTGAATAGACAAAGAGACATTTTTTTTGGTTAAGAAAATAAAAGAAATGTTTGGAAAATAAAATGACAAATTAGTCATAGAGAGGGAAAGTAATATTTGTGTTATATTTATGTGATAAATAAATGTAAGGGTGCATTTGATTGCGAACATGAAATTTGTATGGAAAAAAAATAAATTCTAGGCAATTGAATTGCCTATAAATTATTTCTATGGAAATTATTAACTAAATATGTTTGATTGATTTTATATTCAACTTATAAATTATTATACTTGTTTATTTTTTATTGGTGGGTAGATGAAATAGAAAGGGGGTAGATGAGAGAGAAAGAGAGAGTGAATTACCTACAAAATAAAAACCATTTCACCATAAAGAAAATATTTTCCTTATTTTTGAAGAAAATATAGTCACGTGACCAAAAGTTTGAAAACATTTTCCACAGAAAAATTATCAATCAAACACTCAAAAAGTAGGAATTTAGGTAGAAAAATGACATTTTTCATAGAAAATAATGCCAATCAAACACACTAAGTGATAAAGTTTATGTCATTTATATTTTTTTAAAAGGTTTTTATATTTTCGATTTTTATTAGTTTATTGTGTTTGCACGTGGTAATTCTATTTTAAAGAATTTCATAAATATAATTTTTGCTTTTTTTTAACCAACCAATTAACCTTATGCAATTTGGGACTCTTATCAAAACGGGACCTTAGGCAATCACCTATCCCGCTTATAGTCAGGGTTGCCACTGATGTGAAATAAGGAAAACTTCTCAAGTGAGGAACAACATTTCACCTCTATGAAACTAAAACCCCCATGTGGATAAGGCTTGTTTAGCTAAGCTTAAAAATAAGAAGTTACTTATAGATAAGTTATTCTTTCTTATTTTTAAGCCAAACAAAGTTGTTTATTTTGAAAGTCACTCTTGCTATTGTCAAATTATTAACTTATTTCCAGATTTGATCAATAAATTATCTACTTAACAAATAAAAAGTTTAGCCAAAATATAATCTCTGTTAACAGCAATTTCAAATAAAGGGAAAGGGTTCGCACCTCATAGGTCAAAGTACCACCGGAAGAATTAGGTTGATGAAGTGTAACATTTGAGATGGGACCATTTGCTGAAAGAACGCAAATAGCTCTGGAGCCTTGTTGAGAGAAAGATATTATTTTCATAGTGACATCCTGATACAAATAGAATGGAAAACTAAAATTTAGTCAAATAAACATCGACTAATAGCAATATTAGAAGAAGTAAAAATCAAAGTTTCAGTCAAATTAAAGAATTGAGATGCCTTCACAGCAAAATTCAATGTGTGAAGTTTCTTTGCATAACTTGAAAATAAGAGCATCATGCTCTAAAGTCTTCTCCACTTTCAAATAACTAACGGGATGTTTGTGAGGCAGGATTGGATAGTATTAAGGAATAAAATAATTTATACTCTTGTTTATTATATTGTTTGATCCCGTCCAGTATTCACTATCAAACATGAACTAAATGGATACAAGTACTAGGACAAAGTGTACAGTTTAAGCAAAGAAAAGGTAGTTAGCAGGTCATGAAATTATTTCAACACGAACCGTTTGAGAGCATATGGTAAACTTATGGAGCATTTCACATGAAAATTAAGTCATGGATGATTGTTTGGTAGTAGCGCCAAAAATAAGACTTTATTGGCTAGCTAATGTCATGACTTTTTGATGTTTTGCGAAGAAAATCCAAAAGAAAAATTAAAACACGTTATGTAGTTCATTGATAAAGGCGTCTATGCATATCTATTATGTTATTTAAGCATTCTAGGATAAATGAATTAGAGTAGAGACTTCCAAGTTCCAACAATCATTTTATGTAAACTCCATGCCTCTTACTGCTGTCACACACAGTTACAATTTGCACACCAGAATATGTGATATTTCTGGAAATTATTATTCTTATATAATTAATTCTTAAAATGATGTGTTTTCCTACATTAATCGTTATGAATGTCAATATTCTAGTATATGATACCATAAAAAATCAACAATAAGCCTTATTCCAGCCATCTTTCTATCAGCTATTATTTAAAAATATGAACATATTTAATTGCAGATACTAGTTACTGAGTTAATAAATGAACTGAAGGAGATTTTATAAGAGAATTCATGAAAACTTCTAAAGATTTTTCTTCTTCTTTCCGGTATAAAATTTGATCCCAATATGTCTTCAACAGCGTGATGTTAAAAATAACAAAAAGAGCACCTTGGATTCTTATAGAAAAATGCACCAGTGTTCTGCAATGTATTGCCTCTGTATCTGGTCCCCAACCTTTTCTTTTAGTTCCATAATTATTCGCCAGTGACAAAACTGTCCAAATCTCTATTTAATACTCACATAACCCTTGTATGTCCAACTTTATGAAGCTGGCTCTTGCTTATCAATATGGTATGGTGTCTAGAAATTTAAAATAAGGCATTTTTTTGGGTAAATCCCAATAGCTGTAACTATAGTTTCACTCAGTTTCATTCAGGTAATTATATTTCAATTTTATTCAATCGGTTAATTATACTTTAATTTGACTTCAATCAGGTAGCTCTTTATAATTTTGTGACTCGAATTGAAAAAAATAAAAAACATAGCAGACAATAAATGATGTCAACCATTTATTGCAATGAAGTTGTACTTATTTCATATCAGAGCCTATTGATTATGTATTATTATAACTATCATTTATCGAATACCGTTAGTGAAAATTGAAAAAAATCTTAATTTAAATTAAATTGAAGAGTAGTTAATGATTGAAATCATATTAAAGTGTGCTTACCCGATTGAAATCATATTAAAGTATAGCAACCTAATTGAACAAAACTGAAGTACAATTACCTGACTAAACTAGAGTGAAAATATAGTCACCCCGAATGGAGTTTACCCACATTTTCCATGAGGGCCATGTGATAGTTTATTGAAGATTTAGGTTGCTTCCATCGTTGTTGACTAAATTGCTCATTCATAAAGCCTATGTACCAACTTGCTACTAGGTAATAAATTAGGGACTGGTGTCAAAATTTTCTAATTAAATAAATAACGTTTGAACCATCAGCATATGAACCAACAGAAGGTTTTTGATATCAAGCTGTTTAAATAATAAAACTCGATGTACAAACTTTACTGGTAACTAGAAGTACCTCGCCAGCATTAACAGTTATCACATGGGGCGTAAAACCTGCCCCACCATTGTATGCCACCTTTTCACCTACAAAACAGATAAATATTAAATTGGTTGCTTATGCAAATTTAAAATTTCATCAAAGAACAACCAAATGAAATTTAATTGATGAATGAGTGTTCTACATCAAACATATAATTGTATCATGTTATGGATAGTGTTCTAATGATATTTGATTATGCACAAATAAAGGAAGTACGAGCAATCATTTTCTTCATCCCCTGTTTATGAATAAACATGCTAGAAATAGGGTATTTCTCATTGGGAAAATTGGGGAGCTCGATAATTCTGGATACTGTAGGTAATTTTTCTTTTTAAAGTGAAAACAGATCTAATTAAGCCAGACATTGCGGGGAAATTAATGCCAAAACATTCCTGTGGTCAGAGGCCTGTTCTAATAGAACAGAATGTTCTGCTGCTGCATTACTAACTACTTTCGAAGTCCTGTGATAGCAACTTCTCATTTGAAAATAACTATACACATTGATGGGATGCATACACTTTGGCAATGAATCTCATCGAATCAGTTTTATGCTTCTATTCATTAACTCCAGTATTCATGCTATCTATCGGTTTCAGAGTCAGCACATACTCTATCCATGCTGTCTTTACATTAGACCCACACATGTCACATCAGCTACACATAATTATTCACTCAGTTTTTGAGTAAAAGACATATTTTGTGTCAAATCAAATCAGCTCAGTAATGACATCATTAATAAAACAAGTCGTGGTTCGCAATCTCTACGTACTACATGCTTACAGCATCAGATTATTTTGACCCCACAAACTCATAAGATTTCAAAGGATAGAACTCCCATCATCTTCAGCAGCAGTATCATAAATTATTTTAAAGATCATAACAATCACAATTATTATTTTAAATGTACGACACGCCGACATTTTTTTAGCTGGTGACGGCAAGACTAGAACTCAAAATCTCTGCCTCGCCTAACGTGATGTTGAACCAACTCATTTAAGCATTTTGTTAAAGAGCAAGTATATTTATTTAAATTTAGTCTTGAACAGTAGATTTAGTTTTTAAACACTTTAACCAACCACAAATAGCAATATCACATCTCACTCGACAAACAAACAAACCAATTCAATTTCAGTGTCAGTTATTACAATCACTATGTAGCAGTAAATCACAGAAAAAGCAGAAACCACTATCATAATTCAAGATTCAAATCAATAAAGCAAAATATGATATCATTACCAGGACTTTCGAAGTCCAGCTTATGCTTTTTCTTGTAAGAGTCGACCGGACGACTAGTGCTGTGTTTCCAAGCCGAGAAATCTCCCGTAAGTGGAATTGAAGCAGATATTGGCATAGGTGACAATGCCAACGCTGAACCATCTGGTGCATACTTCCTCGGTCTTCCCCTCTTCTTCTTCATGTCAGTGGCCAGCGCCGGAGCAGGCACATGCACCGGCATGATAGCCTGGGTTTCTGGTGTTGGCCCAGCTGCCGATCCAGTATCTAGACTAGGATTTTCCACCCTTGGCTCAATCCTGAAACCCTGTGAGGCTTCATCTCCCTTCACTGTCACCCCAATAACTTTTGAACCTTCTTTTTCATCCATTTATATACTAATAAAACAAAGACCTTAACAATCCTTAAACCTTTAAAAAACCTCTAAACTAAGACCTAAACTCAAGAATAATGTAAAACTCGAACCTTTTTTTTTTTTTTTTTTTTTTTTTTTTTTTTTTTTTTTATATTTTAGCTCAAATGCTCAGAGTAACTACAAAAAGAAACTTTCAGCTGGAAATTTCCATGAAAACCGAAACTTTATCAAAAACTCCGAATATCTAGCATATAACCCACTTCAGAAACTAAAAATCTTGAAAACCCAGAATCAGCTTTGTATATTCAAAGATCATCAGAGTACAACAAGGCCCTGATGTGGATAATATTTTCTGTAACATCCTGAAATTATGGTTTAACCTCTGCCATTGCACAGAAGAAAATTAATATTCTGACATAGAAAATGATAAAAATTCAGTAGTTGAGAAATTAGGGTTTTGCAATAAAGAACAGAGGTAGGAAAAATGAGAAATTTAAAAATAAATAGGAATTAATAAAATATTTATAATTTATTCAGAATTAACAATATTTAAATTGCAAAATTGAAAATATGAATTACGGTTTTGAAAATGGTTTCAGGTCCGTGTTGGAAATTCAAGAAATGGGAATTAAAAAATGGTAAAGTTAAATGCATATGAATAAAAAATGGATAAATTCATAAATAAAATAATTTACTTATTTCAAAATGGAGGTTTAACTGTTTAAAGCTGTAAAGTTAACGTTAGAGCCAAGCGAAATTTCTCCAGCCTCTGACCTCTTCTTTGTCCTTTTAAGGTGTTGTTAAAGTTTGACCATTTCAAAAGAAACACCCTTCAGCTTCAGAAATATTTACTGTTATACCACTGTATGCCACTTTTTATAAATTAGGTTGCTTAATCGAGTTGAGATTTGCTATCCCATTTGCTCTCCTTGGTTTCTATCTTAACCAGTAAGTTTTTTGGTTAATTTCAGATTTTGCCACGTTTGGTTATACTCAAAAGTAAGTCAAATCACTTATTTGACAAACTTACATTTAAACCAGTAATTTTGACAAACAAAGTTTCAAAGTTACTTTTCCTAATTAACTTTCTTTTTAATAAATACAAAATAACTTTTTGTAAAGTTCCAATCACAAAGAAACAAATTCATTATGCTTGATTAATGGTGACATGTATGATTAAAATTTATTTATTTTTTATTGATTATATTCTATTTATCTTTCTTTTTCTCTCTTATTATTTATTTCTATTTTTTGTGAAAAAATTAAATTGGATTATTGTAACTTTTTTTTTTTTTGAAAAATATCTATTTTTTATTAAATTATAAAATTTTATATGAAAAATTTATAATTAAATTCAAATGTATTGATTTTTATTTATTTTTAAAAGTAGACTATATTAATAATATTGAATTATGTGTATAGATGTGTGTGTGTGTGTGTTAGAGAGAGAGAGAGAGTTTCACACCAAATCTACATGAATTCCATTTCAAATGAAAATTTTTAAAAATCTTTTAAATTTCACAAAAGTCTATAAAAGTCTACGAAAGATTTTCACTAATTCCGAACAAATCTATAAAAGATCCACAAAATCCACAAAAGTCACACTTAAAAAAAGTTCATCAAAGTTTTCAAAAGTCCCAATTGAATACACTCATTGAGAAAGCAAATAAAATCACCTCCTAACCGTAAATGAAGGATGCCAGAGGTTGGGCATATCAACTCAAACTAGAATATAGTTAATAGCTACCATAAGAACACTACCACTTTCAGACTTCTCTAGTGATCATAGTGCTAGGAGAGTATCACAACAGCTAGAATAAACACAATATCGTCCACCTTCAATTGTTTTTAGACCATGTATACATTGGAAAAGCCAATAGAATTGACTTACAATCACAAGATCCAGACTATATATAATAGGAATCTCAAGATCTTGAAATGTGTCAAATTTGGACCAAAGACTTTCGATGGTCTTTGGGAAGCACAAATCCTGCTCTCCTCTCCTCAAACGAGTATTCAATATCTTCATCTTCCATTGACTTGGGTACACAAGGAGCTGGTGTGATAGCTGTCAGCATTGGAACTGAAACTGTGGAAGGTGTAGAAGGCATTGGAATTGCCATTGTTTTGGGGGTTCTGTTCTCTTCATCCATAGTAGAAATCGTCTTGGAAGGAGTTGTGAATGGTGATGTATTGTTGCTTGTAAGTGTCTTCTGCAACATCTCATTATGTTTTGTGTTCAGATCTTCCAAAATATTTGTTGCTTTGGATTTTGAAGAGTCCGTGGAAGAAATGGGAGAGAAAGGCTTTCGCATAATTGGCAACTCTATTTCATGAGCATTTGTTGGATTTAAAGAATGTGGTTTCAGAGGAAGACCAGCTATGTCTAGACCCCTCCGTCCTATGTCAGAGAAATGAGAATGAGATTAGAAATAAGAAACAAGAAGAGGATTCAAAACTTGGCATATATAACTTCGATTAGTTCTAAAATTAGTAAGAAATTGCATTTACGTCAAACAAAATAACCAACTATTCAGTAAAAGAGAAATTACCGGATGACATAGCTTGAAATCTATCATCCCTGGTGGGGTTGTCATGACTCAACCGGTCATTTTTCTTGGCATGACGTGTATTAGGAGTAGCTTTGGTGGAGTGAAGCATATCATGCTTAGGAGTTTGTAGAATTGTGCCGCCAAGAGAAAGTCTTCTGTTGCTTGCACCACCGCATGACAATCTAGGTCCTTTCTTCGTACTCTGGTTCTTCATAGGGCTCGGTTTTGAACCATAAAGAGCCTCCTGTTCTGCTAGTAATTGCCCTTGCAGTTTCTTCTGGTCCTGAAAATAAATAAAAGAAACACAAAATCAAAGTGAGAGGGTGAGAGCAAACGTCATTAAATGTGAAATTCAAATGAGAATTATTAAGAAGACTATACCCTTTGCCTTTTGCGTTCTTGCTCTTTTTCTTGCCTTAAAATGTTATACTCTTCAAGCATGGAAAGAAGACGAACCTGTACACAGAAAATAAAAAAGAAAAGGAGTAAAATTTGGTTAGGCTAATAACTAGAGTATTAACATTTTTACGGCAAGAAAAAGAGCAAGAACGCAAGGCTGGAGTAAACATAAATATGCAGAGTACACAGGGAAACACTTACGCCGTCGTAAGTGAATTCAATTCCTCTCTCATTCTCCCAAGATGATGTTTTAGAAGCCAATGCATCCACAATTGCTGGATAGAACGGGCAGAAAAGAAATTAGTAACAAAATCTATCATGTATTTACACCATTAAAGACTTTTACCGGCAGATGGATTTCTAATAAAATGTAATATTTTTACTTGGAAGTTTATTGACCAAGACGCGAGCTTTCTCAGCGCGTTTCAATGTAAGATGAGCACCTCTCCCAGCATTGTAACGATTTTCATCCTATACAAAGATTAGATTGATTTTGAGCAATTGAATGTTTGCAGTTTATATAAAAATAAAATAAATGACCTTGTTGAAAAATCCGACCCTATTATACTCCTCAAGCCAGCTCTCCTCCTCGCATGCAACCATCCACTTCTCAACCTTGTCGAGGATATCCTTCCTGCTAAATGCTTCTTCTTTAACTTTAGCTATTTCAACCTCAATTTTTTCAAGCACATAAGTTGCATCAACAGCTCCTGTTATTTGAGGGAAAACAGAGTTAGACTCAATGGAATAATATCATTACAATCTTTTCTAAGGTTTAGTAGTACCAGATTCAATAGCTTCAATAGCAATGTCCAATGAACTATCGGTTTCTGGAATCAGATGTGTTTTCCTACAAATATCTTCTAGCTCCGACTTCTTTTTCAGAACAAGCTCCTTCATTTTGCTTGTTTTCAACTCTTCCAACCGAGAAACCTCTTTCTCGACCTGATTAGTACATGATTTACATTGTTTTACATTCCATTCAATAGCTAAACCACACCAAAGCGAAAAATCAAGTATGTTTGACTAAGCTTAAAAAGCTTACTTATAAGAACATAAATAATTTTAATTAAAAAATTTCTATTCATCAAAATTGAAAGTAAGCAACTTACTTTCAGAGTAAGGCCAGAATAAGTTTTTCGTTTAAAAATAAAGAAGAAGAAAAAGTAAGTTATCTAAAAATGTTGAAAATAAAATAGTACTTGAAAGTAACTTTTAATTGTAAGCTCGAACATCTATTCTTGGCAAACATGCTTCATGACTTACAAAAGTAATAATGTCTATAGACAGCATGTTTGGCTCCACAATCTCGTTTTCTGAAGCTGCTACATTACAAGTGACCTTCTGAAAAACTTGTTGCTCTTCAAGCGGTGTATCCATCAGGTTCCACAGTTGCAGCAAGGACATGGCAAGATCTTGCAGCTGTCAAGGAAGAAATTAACAATTTAGCACGCAGAAAATAATGAACTTAAAAATGAAAGAAGCACATTAGAAATTCTTATACCCTTTGCATCCTTTGTATCTTAATCTCTCTAAGCTTTTGAATAGCAGCCGCTAATTGCTGTATGGTATCATGACTAATATTTTTTGAACCTTCAGGATCTCCTAAACTGGGATGAACCTCACTGACAGTTTGCTTGAAATCCATACCAAGAACCAAGCACAATGAATTCAAAGAATTGAGGTGATCGAGAACCTGCTTCAGACGTTCACTCTGAAACCAAGGGAATACAAAAGCAAGTTGGTCAAGAATAATCACTACAAAGCAAGTACATATGATACTGCTATAGAGCAAAGAATAACCTTTTCGTTTTGAAGTGCCAGCATCTCTCTTTGCAATTCTTCAAGCTTTCTTAGAGACAAATCGGCTTCATCCACTACCAAAGTAGTAGAAATGTACCCACTTGAATTAGAAAGTTCATGCTTAAGCTTCTGTATTTGCTCCAGAACCTCTACAAATTGATTCTTTCTATCACATTTCCTCTTCCGCATTTCCTCTATCTGTGGAAGAATGGCTCTAAGTTCTTCCTTCAAGTTTCCAAGATTTTGGTCAGACTGTCAATGAAACATAAACGTCATCATGAATCCCACAACAAATTGTATCTACCTTTTCTTTTAACACAGTTACACGTATACTTTATATCTGGTAATCTTAGGATAAAAGTCAATTCATGTTTCCTCCCACACACTTAATATGACTGAACAAATTTTCATGCCAACACAATATTTCGAAATCACAAACACCTTTAAAACTAAATGCTCTATAATTTGAGGCTGATTAAAGTTATATTTGAATTCAAATGATTTCATTGGCATATTCAACAACTCACAAGAGAACACTATCAATATTTCAAAATCATTAAAACATTTTGTCTACTGCAATTTATTGATTCTAATGACTAAAATGTTTTATATCCTGACCTGCCTAATATGTACTGGTCGCTCTCCCATTGCTGAGCAGATGGCAGCAAGTTCAGCTTCAGAGTCAGCAATTGCCTGCCTAATCTGAGCTCTACACCTGTTTGCCTGATCTACTTTTCTTCTGTACACCTCCAAGCATTCCCGTTCTAGCTCAAGCAACATTCTATCCCTTTCAGCATCCGACTCTCCTACTTCATCCCATATTATCTTTTTTTTTTTTTTTTTTTTTGAACGAAGCATAAGAATAAATAATCAGAAGGCTAATGATACTAACATAATACAAAAGTGAGAAGATTGTGCAGTTGAAGTAAGGACTCAAACATCACAACTTCAAAAACGTGCTTCAAACAGGGAATGGGAAATCACAAGCATATCTTTACGTAAAAATTTAGTACTCGAAAACAAAAGAACCTGCAATTCATATAGAAGAGATCCACATGTTGTTTCCATTTGCAATAGTGGATCGCTTTGACCGTTCGACATTTGGAAGTAACTTCAACCTGCGCATAGAATCCAACTTTATGAGAATACAAGCACAATATGCTAACACAATCACATTAGAGATCCGTTCAAATTCAATACCGATTATCAACTTACTACAATGCTTAACAATTTTAACTTCCACCATGACAAAGGTGAAATAAATGGGCAAAATAAATTCAGCAAAGAAACCCTATTGCCTGACTTACCTAACAGTAAAATATTTTTTTGACCGTAGAATCTGCGACTTCAAATTCATTTTTCGAAGTTTTAAATCATATAAATGAAGATTCATAAAATTAATCTATTACATTAACTTTGCTTCACAATCTAGATTATTTAGTTTACCGAACTCATCATGACTTATGAGTTGCAGTGCTACAGCATCAGTGGAGGTGGGTATGGAATGGGGAACGGAACTAAACCCTTGATCGATTTACAAATGAAACGGGAAAAAATTAACTGATCCTCACCAAAAAAAAAAAAAAAAAAAAAAAAAGAGACCCAGCTCAATTCAACCAAACCCCAATATTAAACCAGTATAAACAGAATAAGAATTTAAATATTACCTAATTCACTTCTATTGCCAAAATTAGAAATAGAAAATTAAATATAAACTCACCCCTTACTAAAAGTCGCAATCCCAATTACTAGAACTCTAATTAAGACATTTTTTTTCCAATCCCACTATCTAAAAAACTGAACTAGTATCATTTCAACTTTCTCAAACTCTAATACTCTCGAAATCCAAACTGAAGAAAGAAAAAAAAAATTCTACAAAGGAAGCAAAACCTAGATCTGAGAACGTACCTGGAAATTTAACCGAAGAATTACCTGCGTTGTGACAATTCAGAAAAAAGATCTCAAAATTGGTTCTAAAATGAGATGAATTTTAAGAGATTGCAAGATTTCAAACTCTTCGTTTAAGAGCTAGAGAGAGAATAGGGAAACGTTTTGAAATTCGACCGTTGAGAAAGAGATGTAGGAGGGTTTAATAATGTTTGCTGGGGACGAAGAAAAATTTAAATTTCAAAACGGCAGGAGAGAGAAAATACTTTTTCAATTGGTCCCCTTGTTGCCTAGTAGCATGATTGACTTTTACAATTTCATTTTTTTTTTATAACTAGTCGCATGCCCGTGCAATGCATGGACTGTGTTATTTTTTAAGGTAATATTAGTATGTCTAGCGTTAAGGATTTATGAGAGACATGTGCATTAGATTGATTTGATAAGGTAAATTTACATATAATGTAACTAATAAAAACTATAGTCACGATGCATCTAGAGAGCATCAAGAAATAAAGTACACTTTAAAAAAGACAAAACAATTAGCAAACAAAATTTAAGTATATAAAGAGACCTGAACAGCATGCCATCGTTTTTCAAAAATTTAACAGTGATATTAGTAGTCTTGAATATGCACATTTTGTATAAATAAAATTTTGAAATTTTCAATTAAGTATACAATCCTAAAATGGATCAATTGGCTTTAGTAAACATATATGCGTGCCGACTTAGAGTAAGACAGAGGGGGAGGGAGAGATGACTAACAAAATCATTTAGTACCCTACAAGTTTTAAGCATACTTGATCTTTCATTTAAAGAGTCCAAAGACACTTCATGTTCATCGGCACACACAAAAGAATGTAACAATTGATCATAACTGAGAACCCATGAATCAATGACAAAGGTTAGTTACCTGACAGTTGAATGCCCACTCTATCATCACTGTCCATGACCATAGCTATAAGACTAGTGTTAAATGCAGATTCGCAGAGCCAACCATAAGTTGAGAATCTGCACATAAAAAATAGTCATTCAAAACTTTATCATGCATAGAAACTATAAGCTCCTACTTTTAGATAGTTTATTTTAAATGACATACCTTAAACCCTTGTAACATCAATCATGAAACCAGATTGAGGCCTATGAAATGGATTAGGCATAGGCACCTCATTTTACTGTCAAAATAACAAGTTAGAATATGTGGAATAACATAATCAGAAAGATAACATCGTTGAATTTATAAAACACTATTTCTTATTTTTTCTTGTTACCTTAGATGAACTGGCAGGTAAAAGTGTAGAAGGGGGTGCAAAGCCAAGCAATACTGCTGCAACAGCATCGTCTTCCAGGAGTGCAATTGAATTAGTCTACAGAAGTAAAAAAAAAAAACTATACTAAAAGAAAAGCTTGACTTTTTTGCAATGCTATAATGGTAAGTGACAATGTATGTAATATGATTGTCTTAAATCATTAACATGAATGCATTGCCATCTATATTTTTTTATTGCTTTTCATGTGGCACATACTTCTAGGGAAAGCTAAGAATGCATTGAACAAAATTAGTTGGTGTATGAACACATGCATTTCATTTGTATAAATAGGTGCTTATCACACACATACACACTCACGCGCACATGACACAATTTTTTTTGCAAATTTTTTTTTTTTACTTTTAAATAACTTGAAACAATTTTTTTACTTATAAGTAACTCTTTACATTTTAGAAATATACTTAAAATTTGAAGTTAATATTTTTCACTTATAAGTAGCTTTTACAATTATAACATTTTTTTTACTCTTAAATAACCTGCATGATGATAAAAATAACTAATTGGATGAAGCAAATAAATTGGGTCGAAAATTATAGAATTGGAAAAAAAAATCATCTGACATCATACACATAGATATTTCACACAAGTAATGTACTTCATTAGAAATAATAACATCAACACTTGAGAACATTGCAGATGACAAACTATTTAAAATAAACACACATTCAATCTCAAGACAATGACTCAATTTTCAAGCAAAACATTAAACTAAGTCAAAAGCATGCACCATAAATGGAGTAGTGGGTGCATCAAATAAAATATCAATCAAAAAGGCATTATTTGCAAACACTTTTTGTTTCTACTCGTCAAAAGTTTAATTTTGCTTCAACTCGAAAGTATATAGAATTAACACATAATCCTGCTTTAAATTAATATTGAACTTGGAATTGAGAATAATTCAGAGATGCGTGATGTTAAGCAAAGTTTATTCGAAGGAAAATGTGGCATCAGCGGATAGTGATTCGGCTCATTTATATTTGTTCTTTTACCTTTGAGATAATTGAAAGGCACAAGGAAGAAAAGGAAATCAAACCTCCAACGATACATATATGTGAACATCTTCAATATTGCCTAAGAAAATAACAGACACGGATACTGATAACCTCATTTTCCTGTAAGGTTCAAGAATGCAGTTTCGCAAAAAGTCACAAAATTTGAGATTAGAAGTAAATCAAACGTGTACCTAATGCCAACAAAACTATACACCGTGAAAAAGAATCAAGAATTTTCAAACGAATACATATCTTAAAAGTATTATTTTTATGAAAGCAGTCAATTTAACCCAAATTTGATTGCAAAGGCTAATCGTCTGGATGAGCAAAACATCAAATCCTCCTCTATTTATTTAGAGAATCGGCTAGAATTTTCATGTTCATTACTTCAGTCATTCTTATTAAATCCTTGTATTTGTCTATTTACACATTATAATATCCAATAACGTCGTCAATGTCTCAATTAAACACTTCAATTTCAATAAACATAATACGGTGGCTACTCACCCTTTGGTTTGGTCACAAATTTGTAAATTTTTTGTATACATCCCTCACAGTTTAACTGCACTTCAAAATCGTAGTCGTCACAACTTACTGTAAACAAATAATTCAATATTTATTACAAATTATAACTAAAATAAAATTAATTTAATAATGACTCTACTTAAAACAATGACTCTACTTACAATATCAATTTTTCAATTTTTAAACTCTTGCTCTAGTCCTTCAGGTGACACATCATCACTAACAAAAAAAGGCAACAAACTCAAAAAATTTAAGAAATCATTCAAAATTAACATGATTACTGTTACAACAAAATCAAAAACAAGAAAAAAAATGTTTTTATCTAGGAGTGTCATAGAGAAGAGAACAAAGATAAAAGAACCTATAAGAAGAAGAACAGTCAAACAAACATATTTTATTGAAGAAAACATTGAAAAAATTGAAATTTCTATTTTAAAGGGATATATGTTATCCAACATAGAATAACAATAAAAAAAGTAACAAATTCACAAAATTCAAGAAATCGTTCAAAATTACCATGATTGCTATTACTACAAAACTAAAAATAGAAAAGAAAAAAATATTTTCACTTGAGAGCATCTTAGAGAAGAAAACGAATATAAAAGAACCTACGAGAAGGAAAATCACAAAATAAACATTTTATCGAAGAAAATATTGAAAAAATTGGAAGGTTGGAAATATTGGAATTTCTATTTCGAAGGGAATTGCGTTGCTTAACATAGAATACTACCCAAATGACAGTTATAAGATTAAATAGGTTCTGAAAATGAAATGAAAAGGAAGTTCAATATAAGGCAAGCGTGTGTGTTTTGGATTTTACCTTTTTTCTTCCTCAGTTCGGTTTGATTGTGGTGGGAGGAGTTAATTCAAAAGACGTGTGAAATGAGAGAGAGTGAGAGCAAAAAATAACTTTATAGGGGAGAAATTTGTGAACAGTTACTAAAACCAAGTGGATGAAAGTGCGAGATAAAAGAGTTGAATAGTAAGAAAACCAATTTTGGAATAATGTGTAAAATCGAGTGCTACAAGAATGAATAATAATGCACGGATTACCCCTTTTAGAAGAAGAAAAGAGAAAAGAAAAGTATGTAAGACAAATCATTTTGACCAAACCCATTTCAAATCAGTTCAATGTGAAAATGTACGGGACAAAAATGAACAGTCTAATGTTGTACAAGCAAAAACAATAATTTCCACCAATTCAAAAAAAGGGGGGGGGGGGGGGGGGGGGAAATTGTATAATAAAAAAAAAAAATTTAAATTTAAATAATTTTAATCTACCAATTCACAAATAAAAAAAGATGAAAACTTTTTATAAATTGAAAATATTTTTTAAAAAAAAATCTCTTTTCACGAAGAGAAAAACAGTGATTGAAAGTATTAATTTCAATCATAAATAAAAGGATAAGAATTAAAAAAATTAAAATTCTTTTATAAATAGAAAAAATGTAAGTTGAAAAAATTTAAAATAAAGAAAATTTCTTCTTTCATGGAGAGAAAAATAGTATTTGAACAGATTTATTTAAAACATACATAAAGACAAAAGAAGTTAAAAAAAATAAATAGGGAAAAAAATTATGCTCCGTGCAACGAAGTGCACACACACACACACACACACACACACACACTTTATTTTAGTAATTTTTTGTTATTAATATTTTAATTTAAAATATCTAATTTACAATAATTAAATATATCTATACATTTACTTGAAAATGTTGAAGTTTTTTTTTTTTTACGTATAAGTAGCTTTTATTTTTAAATAAGTGGAAGTATTTTTTTATTTTTTTTACTTATAAGACTTTTTACATTCTAAATAGTGTAATATTTTTATTAATATTTCATTTCAAAAACTTTTTACATTTTAGAAATATTTTTTTATCTTATTATTAATCGAAGTGATTATTTTAGTTAGAAATAACTTTTTATATTTTATATAGGAATAAAGAATCACTTTTATGTAAAAAAATTTATTTAAAAAAATATTATTACTAATAAAATTATAAGATATAGTTTATACATAGTTTATAGCGTGAGAAAATAGAAAAAGAGTATTGTATGTCAGATTCAGATGACCAAACCAGTTCAATATGAAAATCAGCGTGACAAAAATATTTAGATATATTTAGTTTTTTAAATTAAATATTAATAAAAAGATTACACTATCTAAAATGTAAAAATTTCCTTATAAGTAAAAAAAACACTTCAAGTTATTTAAAATAAAAAAACTTATAATTGTAAAAACTACTTATAGGTAAAAATATATATTTAAAACTTGAAGTTAATATTTTTCACTTATAAGTAGCTTTTACAATTATAAGTTGTTTTTACTTGTAAATAACTTT